ATTTGGACACAGGAAGGGGAACATCACACACCAGGGCCTATTGTGGGGGAGGGGGGCGGGATAGCATTAGGAGATATACCTAATGTAAATGATGAGTTAATGGGTGCAGCACACCAACATGGCACACGTATACATATGTAACAAACATGCACATTGTGCACATGTATCCTAGAACTTAAAGTATAAAAAAAAAAAAAGTAAATAACTCCTGGGTTAAAACCATAAATCATAATGGCAATGTGAAACATTGCTAACTGAAACAGTCTACATCAACACATATGGGCTGCAGCAAGAGTGGCACATTGAGAGGTGCACCAGGGAAGCAGAAGGAACATCTGGCGCATGGGAAGGGCACAGGAGCCGCCACTGGGTCCCACTCATGTGGACAGATGCACGAGCTAAGCTGCGGGTGAAGAACCGACTCCCAGGATCTTCAGGAAAATGATTTTCTAGAATGGGCAAAGGGTCAGTACTACCATCCAAGAACAAGGCTGAAACAAAAACAGGTATAAACAAAAATGGAACTTACCACCAAGAAGTCTGCTCTAAAAGAACTTTTACAGTATGTACTTCAGGGAGGAGGAAAATGATTCTAGTACAGTCTGAGACACTGGTCGGAAAGACATATAAAATGGCCAATATGTAGCTACGTCAAACAAACATGGATGATGAAAAACAACAACACAATTGTATTATCTGATAAGTGGGATTTAAGAAGGTCAAAAGTATTTATGTGTGTATGTACATACATGCATATATACACATATACATGTATGTGTGAGGGTGTGCATGTCAGGCTCCAAGAAGGGGAGGGCCCGAGGCTCTGACAGCATTTTCAAGGGGTTGCACACTTTGCTGGTGAGGGGCTAAGAACTGAGGTGGCATGGAGGGGCATGTGGGTGAAAAATGATTTTTAAAGAGGAGAGAAGGCCAGGCGTGGTGGCTCATGCCTGTAATCCCAGCACTTTGGGAGGCCAAGGCAGGGGCCAACATGGAGAAACCCTATCTCTACAAAAATGGCCAGCCTGGCCAACATGGAGAACCCCTATCTCTACAAAAATATAAAAATTAGCCAGGCATGATGGTGGGTGCCTGTAATCCCAGCTACTCGGGAGGCTGAGGTGGGAGGCAGAGTTTGCAGTCAGCCGAGATGGTGCCATTGCACTACAGCCTGGGCAACAGAGTCAGACTCTGTCTCAAAAATAAAATAAAATAAAATAAATGTAAAAAACAATAAATAAATAAACAAAATAAAGAGGAGAGAAATGACATCTTTGGTTTCTCCTCCATAGTCCCTTTCCTATAGTTCAAATACAAAAGGAGTGATTCTTTCCTTTTTTTTTTTTTTGAAACAGGGTCTCACTCTCTGTCACCCCAGGCTGGAATGCAGTGACACGCTCATGGGTCAAAGCAGCCTTCACCTCCCAGGCTCAAGGAATCCTCCTGCCTCAGCCTCCCAAGTAGCTGAGACTACAGGCACAGGCCACCACACCCGACTAATTTGTTTTTTTGCACTTTATGTAGAGACAGGGTTTCACTATGTTGCCCACGCTGGTCTTGAACTCCTGAGCTCAAGTGATTTGCTCACCTCGGCTTCCCAAAGTGCTGGGATTACAGGCGTGAGCGATCGCACCCAGCCTGAGTGATCCTATTGAAACATAAATCAACATAAGCCCCTCCTTTGCTTAAAACTCTGCAGTAGCTCCCACTTCACTCACAGGAGGAGCCCAAGTCCTTTCCATGGCCTCCACGGCCCTGCCTCATGGGCTGGGGTGCTCTGACTGCTCCCTCCACCCCCTCACCCCCTGCTCACCACTCTGACTGTTCCTTGACAAAGGCAGTGCCTCGCCCCCAGCTCCCCTGCACATGCTGATCCTTTGCGTGGAAGGCTTTCTCCCAGGTCCGCCTGGCTCACTTCCTGGGCTGTTCAGTCCTGTTCTTATATGCCACGAGAAGGAAAGTCTTCCTTGGCCACCTACCTAGAGCTGCCCTGGCCTGGGCCATTCCGCACCCCAGTCCCTCTGCTGCCTGTGGTCACTTTTATTGACCTCCCTCTTCCAGAGCGTGGGCTCTATGGAGGCAGAGACTTCTGTCAAGGTCACAGCTGCATCTCCAGCACCTGAACCCATGCTCGGCATGCAATGGATGCTGTAAATATTTGTTGAACGAACAACTTTGCCAAGTGTCTTCAGTAAGGTAAAATATGTGTTTTAATTGGGAAGCATGGTAATTTGGGAGTGTGACCAGCAGGTGGAGTGACAGCAGCTCAGTTTCTCAAGGGCACTTTCCACAGGGTGACCTGAGGCAGCTGTGGCCTGGCCCTGGTGCCACACCCAGCTCTTGGCCACAGCGGGCCCATGGGCTCCTGGCTCCTCTACCTGGGCTCATTCTGCATGACACAAAAAATATGCGGAGCATAAGAGGCCTGGCTACTCCTTTATCTCATTACCTTGATGTTTATGGACAAGACCTATAGGAGATGCTCAAAACTGACAGGTCAACTAGTTGATGCCAAGGGTCTGGCCTTAAGCACTAACTGGCTGAGTCATGCCTTCCTTTATTAAGACGCCAGCACTGCAGAGTGGTGTGGGATGATCTGACAATGACCAGCCCAGGGGCAGATGTCACAGTAGTAAATCCTCCCTGTACTGTTCCCACTAGAGAAATACTTGCAGCCATTCCCTTCCTAGAAATTGCCTAGGAAATTTACCTCTCTTTGGAGTTTCCGTTTTTCCGCCTTAAGTTCATCTTCTATTTTTTCTGCATTTTCAGCCGCTGATTTGTAACGTGATACTTGACTTTCTAACCTTATTACCTAAAAGGTAGAAAAAAAACATACGTATCAATTGATAGGCCTGTTTTCTTTCTTCAGTTTCTTTACTTTGAGATCAAAGGGTGTGATTTAATAAAATGGGAGAATACACCATGTAAATACTTATAACATTTTGGACTATGGTGTGGGTTTGAGCCAAGCAAGCTATTATTAGTTATTTCTGGGCGACCCCGTGTTGACACGATGGGGACCCATTTCCTCTGACCCCGTCCACCAGGGTCATTTCCGCAGTGCTGGCGCCTTGCTGCCTCCTGCTTCTCCCACTGTGTGGGGCTGCTCTGTTGGAAACAGAACAGTGTGTCCAGGCAGAATGGTGCTGGTAAGGGATGGGTTCCACCAGGACCTCAGCTCCAGTCTAATCTCTCCTGGGGTGGTGGGGGTGGGAGGAGGAAAGGACAGGGTGAGGAGTGAAAGGAGGAGGCTTAGGCATGGCATTCCCCAGCCAAGATTCTGAGATGAGAGACCGCAGCAGCGAAGGCCTGCCGGACACCTTCATTCTGCTGCAATCAAAAGCACGCATCATCTCTACATGAGCTGTTCTCATTTTTGTTTCTATAAACATTCCAAAAAGTTCCAGCCAAGTATACCCTGTTTTTTTCCTCTCTTTCTAGCTAGAACAAAATTGCCCCAGGGCCCAGTGTGCTAGAGGCAGGAGTGCCCTATGTCTAGACACCAGGGAGAGCTGGCCTTGCTGCAAGAGACAGGCTAAAAGCCCAGGCAAGAGGGACGTCCCAGATGATGTGGTTTGTTAATTAGCTAAATTATTTATTTATTTATTTTATTTTTGAGACAGAGGCTCGCTCTGTTGCCCAGGCTGCAGTGCAGTGGTGTGACCTCAGCTTACTGCAACTTCAGACACCCCAGTTCAAGCGATTCTCCTGCTTCAGTGTCCTGAGTAGCTGAGATTACAGGTGCCTGCCACCATGCCCAGCTAATTTTTGTATTTTTAGTAGAGATGGGGTTGGCCAGGCTGGTCTCAAACTCCTGACCTTCATTGATCCACCCATCTCAGCCTCCCAAAGTGCTGGAATTACAGGCGTGAGCCACTGCGCCCGGCCAATTAACTACATTATTTTTAAAGAACAAAATTTTAAAACACTCCCAAGCCACATTAGCTATTTTCTACAACTAACTGTTGTTGATAAAGGATTAGTATCTATTATAACAACTTAAATTCTAAGAATTCTTTCCTTCCTACTTGTTCTCTGTAAGAAACGGATGGAAAGACTTGCTGTCCTAACTTATCCCTCTCAGGACATTTTTTGGTTCTAAAAATCTTGGCTTTTTTTGGTCCTCAGCCTTTCAGGGCTATTTCTAGCAAATAAAACTCCAGTCAATCATCAGTTCTGCCCGTTGTTGCTTACACGTACATTTTGTTCTAATGCAGTTATCTCTTGCTCAGATTTTGCAAGTTTAAATTTGAGGTCGCTGATCTGTCTGTTGGCATCCCCTAAAGGTTGAAAGAGAAGGAAAATCTGTTAAGCTCTTGGGCTTTTCAAATATTAAAACAATAGTTACTGGGAACCAAGCCCTTACTTTGTAATCATCTTGCAAATCTGTTAGTTCTGGCCCTGCCTCCACAACCTCCCAGAGCTGAGAGTAGAAGGCACTCTCTCCCCATGAACCCAGGCTGGGAAAGTGCCTTCCGCCCCTGTGCTTGGGGCAGCAGACCCCAGATAAGAGAGTGCCTGCCTATGAGTAAAGAAAACAAAGAAATGGTGGGGGGGTAGGGAAAAGGGGGGAGAGAGACTGGGCATAATTTTATCTCCCTTAAGACTGTGTCTAGTTTATTGGCATTAAAAAAGCCTTTCTTTTTTCTTTTTTTCATACAATCAACAGATCAAAAGATGGCTGTATCCAGCAAAGTAAATGTGGTTTCCATCAGCACAACATGTGGTGGTATCTTGGCGCACATTTTTGGGCACCTGTTCTATTTCATAGGGTCAGAGAGAAATAGCATTGTTCTGTCCACCTACCCATCCTTGTGCTTCTATTTTCAAGGGCTTTTGTGGGGATGAGAGGGAATGAGGGCATTTTTTGCCGTGACAGTTTTCTCTGCCAGCACAAGTACACTAAAGCAGCACATATGAAAGCATTTACTTCTACACAAGAGTTGACATTTACTTTGTAGGTCCATTACATGCATGTCTGTCCCGTTTTCCAAGACATCATCTTCAGAGCGAAGATTGTCTAGTTTGCCAATCTTCTGTCTCTCCTCCAGCTGCCCTTTGAGTTTCTTAATCTGAAAACACCCGCCAGTAAAATATGTTAATTTCTCTATTCTGAATGAAACCAAAAAGCTGAAGTTAGAGCCCATCAGAAAGGAAGCAGCATGTCAACTGACAGAAGGAACTTTCTGTCCATCAGTACTCTTCTCAGAAATACAATTCAATGTACAATGAATGAAAAATGAATTACACTGTAACTCTGGGAGAAAAGTCATTTCTAAAGTGAAATTCCTCTAGGACTCAGGAGGAGACTGTACATGAAATACCTGCAATGTTTAAGACTCAGTGAGTCACAGTGCTATTCACTTTCTCTTTATTTACTAAGAAACCAGAAAGGGCCACTTGGAGCCTTCTGGGCTCCGATATATTGTAATTAAGTCCCCCAAAAGTCGAGTGCTTTCTCAGAGTCCAGGCAAGCTGCAGGTGTGTTCAGAGGCGGTTTGTCAGCTTTCAGGGAGGTGGCCTCTAGCTAGCTTTCCCTTCTCTAAGCAAGACAGAATCAGGTCCAGTCGTCCTTTGGTATCTGTGGGAGATTGGTTCCAGGACCCCCCCAGACACCAAAATCTGTGGATGCTCAAGTCCCTGATGTAAAATGGTGCAGTATCTGCAGAAACCTACATGAATCCTCCTGTACACTTTAAATCACCTCTAGATTCCTTTTAACACCCAATACAACGGCTACAACTCACTTCATTCGCGTGGATTCAGTGCAGGACTCCGTGCAGGGCAAATTCAAGTTTTGCTTTTTGGAACTTTGTGGAATTTATAGTTTGTTTTTTTTTTTTTAATATTTCAATCTGTGTTGGTTGAATCCATGGATATGGAACCCATGGATGTGGAGGGCTGACCGTATAGTTGGAATTGCAGTTAACAGTCAATGACTGCAGAACTTTCTGGCATCTAGTTGGTGGGGTCTCCGGGGGCTTTTCATGTTTAACTTTCAATCTATGAAAATTGTTGCAGGTGATCGCCTGCCTTCCTACTCCACACATCAAGCATAGGAGACCCCTAATTAAAAACAAACCAAAAGTGCATGCTGCTTTTAAGGAAGTAAGTATAGAACTCATGAACGCATATTTTCAAAAGATCATAGGAACTTCAGGAGAATCTTCCTACCATCTTTAGTGCTTTCTCCAATTTTCGGAGAATCTTCAACAGAATGGTAGAAAGTAAGGCAAATATATTTGATTAGGCTTATGAGGAGAAATTAGAGGAAAGTGGTTGTAGAGTGATGTAATCACTATCCTGCATATGAAAAGATCCAAAATAGGACAACTGTTCAGTATTTCTTTGTTTTTGAGATGGAGTCTTGCTCTGTCACCCAGCCTGAAGTGCAGCGGTGCAGTCTTGGCTCACTGCAACCTCTGCTTCCTGTGTTCAAGTGATTCTCTTGCCTCAGCCTCCTGAGTAGCTGGGATTACGGGCGCCCACCATCACGCGCGGCTACTTTTTGTATTTTTAGTAGAGATGGGGTTTCACCATGTTGGCAGGCTGCTCTTGACCTCCTGACCTCAAGTGATCCACCTGCCTCGGCCTCCCAAAGTGCTAGGATTAGAGGTGTGAGCCACTGCACCTGGCCCGCTACTTCTTGAGGTAGGAGACAGCAATGAAGATAAACATGGTTGAAACAATTTTGTTGAGCTGTAACAAAGAAATACCGGTGAGAGAGGGATGCTGCTCACCAAGAGGACAAACCTGACTTTTATGGACAAACAACCCATATGGACAAGGGAAGTGCTATTTGGAATGACTCAGTAATGCCCTTGCCTCTCAATGGTTAATCATTAATATTATTAATGATTGATATTTATATTTATTTTAAGTAGCAATTCAGTAAAATGTACCAAATTCAGTTCCATGGCTTTGGGCCTTTGAGATATCCTCATTAAACCTCGTGTGACTCAGGATGTTCTCTTTGGATGAAAATATTAACTCTGATGTTCTATTTGGACAACAATCTTAAGAACACCAGTTGGCTTGATAATGACTTTCCGGCATGATTAACTTCGGGGTTTTCTGAGTAAGCAAGAAGGAAGGATGGGCAGGTGGTTTCAGGTGCCCTGTTCAAGAACCGGTAAAGTAATAAAAGATTGTTACCTGTTCCAATAAGCATTCCCGTTCATCAACCAGCTTTTTCAACCTAATATCTAAAGAAATCAGAAAGACACAGGTTTAGGTGAATCCGTGTGCCGCGCCTTTCAGCACATTGCTAAACTGAAGAATGATCGTTCAGGTTAGTGAAATGAATGATGGAAGTAGTTATACACGTACCACGGTGAATGAGGCCACAGACAGGACGGGGGAAGAATTCAGCCAAGGGGGGTTGGGTCAACCTCCCAGAACATGCTTCACGTCAGGGGCAGCATCCGGCTGCATGCAAACAGGCTGCTAATCTTCTACCTTAGGTTAGCATGCAAGAACGCTAGGGCCAAACCACACTGCAACACAAGATCTCACAGGCTTCATGGTTTAACATCATTAGCAATGTACAAACACTGAGAATCACAGTTCAATAGCACCAACATTTTGAACAGCCTCGCCTTTCCAAGTTTACATCCCAGATTTCTTTATCTTTCTAATGTCTCTCATAGACTCATCGATGTCAGTGCTGTGACTATCTGTTTACAACCCTAAGTCCACTAACACCTCTGCTAACCCAGTTATCAAAGGTGTTCTTCTTTTGAGGAAGAAGGCAGTAATGGTTTAAGTGTCTGTAATTCCTCCCACCCCGATATATAAAGATGCATAAATGTTAAGTGTCTATAAATTACCCAAACATCTCTCTGAAGGAGGGTCAAGTACTACGGTCTTCGGACTGGGTGGGGGAAACCACAGCTTGGGGAGGGTTTAGAGGTTTGGGCAAAATCCCACACTAGTGTAAAGGCACAGTCAGAATGCTGGAGTGATGACAGTGATAACGTGTGCTACACACTCACTCTGACACAGGTACAGTTCTAGCAGCTTTGACATCATTAGCTTGTTTCAGCCCTGGAAGCCCTACGGGTGGGCTTCATTACAGCCTCCTTCTATAGGTGAGGCTCAGAGGCCCAGAACCACTAAGCAATTTTCTTAAGGCCTTGCAGCCCAACCACAGGAACATGCCCCTAACGGGCACCCACTATTTTTCCAGATCTAAACTCACACCTCTGAGTCAGACTCTGACTCAAAGCTCTTAGCCCACTGGGACGCTGCTCTCACGCAGCCTACCTCCAGATTCTTCGCAGAATGAACAACTAACCTTGATTAGCCATGTGAAAAGAAAATAATTCATATAAAATGCATCTTCATTTTCATTTAAAAAATCATCTAGCCACATGCTAATCCAAGTTACATTTTTCTCTAATTATGTTTTCCGAAGATCCTAAGTTGTTGTTTTGAAAGGCACAGTAAAACACCAGATAATATTAAGCACAATATAAATTAAATTTATCATCCTTTTGAGTTCTATTTTAATTTATAGTCAAATTACTTCTGACAGATGTTTTACTCTTTCCCTCCTGTAACCCACCCAACACTGAAAAAAAAAACATTCTTGCAGTTATAAACCTGATTCTTTTGTCCAGTATCACTACTCATTTTCTTATATGTTTTAATACTCCTACATACAAAAACTACAGGCATCATAAGAAACACTGAATATATCAGAATGTGATCTTGAAGCTCAAGTATCTATAGTAAATTATTGTTTTCTTCTAGAAAACTTCAAATATTCTAGATAAGCACTAGAAAGTAACTGTTAAAATGTAATAAGAGCGCAAGCAAAATCGATATAGGTAAACTGACATTGAGTTGTATAGTGAGAATATTAAAAATACAGAGAGAAGAAACTTTTAAGGAAGAGAAATTTTAAAGGAGACTTGGAGAAGAAAACAAGAACGAAAGAGTTTGAAGAAAACAGAAAAAGAAATGAAGCAAAATAATTTGACATGAAGAAAATAAGAGTACTAGTTTTCACAGCGTTAAAAACCACCAAGTCCAATTTGTTGAATAAATAGTGGCACATCACTGGTAGACTTATAATGTCTGCATAATTGGGAAATTTTTCCCTGTATGAGCCACCAGCCATTCACATGTTGAAAAATATTTAAGAGAGGCAGTAGATAGGGACAAAGAGAACAAAAGGATTTTCTTCTTGAAAGACAAAGTTTTCTCCATGTACAACTATCACACTGAACAAGTACATATTCTGAACATAATACATGCGCACACAAACACCCCTCCCTTTCCCTTAGGGGCCCAGACGTCTGGAACAAATCTTACTGTTGTGTTCCCTTGACGGGTGGCCATGGGTGGCATGCTGTACAGGGTTAGGGGGTGGTCTCCCAGAAAGGGAGTCTATCAACAGAAAACAGGAACCCCAAACCATCTAAACTCCCCAGAATTAGCATTCAGGGTTCTAGTGATAGTGGAAACTTAAGTGTCAGGTCATTAGGTCTTCTGTTAACTGCAAATATTAAAAACTATGGAAAGTGACCAAGGTCATACATCTCTTTTAAGGTCATTCTTGAAAACTGTTTAAAAACTTGATTGCTGTCCAACCTTTGTATAACAACCTATAATTCAAAATCCATCTTCCTCTGTATTTTTGACAGACACCCATAATTATACTTAATTATACTTTTGAAGGAAGATTTACATTTATATATGGGAGCTATGTTCGGGTTTGGGACTGAAAAATATCCATGCTTTTTGATTTCAGGTGTCAGTAACCAATGTTTTTCTCTATTCTGTATGATAGTGAAACCCCAGTGGTCTAGGTTCCTCTGGGGATATGGCTGGAAGGCAACCTTTCGATTCTTAGATTCTGAGTTTGAATCTTTTGACGCTATAATCTTTCTAAATTGCCCTATATATTTCTATACCTTCTTACATGGAGTATAGCTAAGTCAACTTTCTCTTTCTTTTCTTTCATTTTTTTTGAGACAGGGTTTCACTCCATTGCCCAGGCTAGAGTGCAGTGGTGTGATCATAACTCACTGCAGCCTCGACCTCCCAGGCTCAGATGTTTCTCCCACCTCTGCCTCCTAAGTAGCTGGGACTACATGCACATGCCACCATGCCTGGCTAATTGTATATTTTTTTTGTAGAGATGGACTTTCACCATGTTGCCCAGGCTGGGCTTGAACTCCTGGGCTCAAGTGATCCACCTACCTCGGCCTCCCAAAGTGCTGGGATTATAGGCATGAGCCAATGTGCCCGGCCTTAACCATTTCTTGGTAAGTTAAGAGCCTTCACAGTAACATCAATTACTGTGCTTGGCTATAAAGTCATTACACTGGAGAGCAGACAACTGATGCTCAGAACGAAGGCTCTGAAATCATCGAGAAATGGCTTGGCTCCTCAGAAGTCTTTCTTTTTCCTTCTTTTTTGCTCATGGATTTTCAGCTGCCCATTCCCTACTGGAGGGCTGGGTCCTAGCCGCTTGTTCAATGGTACAGTGCCTTCCATGTACAAAGTGATCAAACCTGTTTATTAATTAAACAAATGAGTGGTGAATCACTGAGACAGCTGGATGGCTGAGCTGAGGGATGTGACGTGTGCCCAACGTCCTGCAGGGTGCTGGTGAATAACATGGGAAAGAACTTAAAATGGCTTGATGATCTCACCATTTAGTGACCTTGGTTGTTGAACTGCTTTCCAAGAGCCCTTTAAAGGTAGGAATGAGAGCTGTTTCCAGTATGCATTCCAATATGAATGCAGCTTTGCTAAAGTTAGAGACATAAACTAAAACCCTGTGAAGTCCTATAGAGCCCTTGGACTTGATTTCCTAGCAAGCATTTATCATCCCTACCATCCTCCACTTCAGGACACTTGAGCAGAAATAGTCAAGGTTTTTTCCATTTTCATCATACTCTTCAAAACATTCTAAGTATTGGTGCATTCAAGCACAGCAACAGATGAAGACCGTTTTCAACTGAGGCTGCACATTAGAACCACAGATCACAGGAGATGGTGCGGGACGATCGTCTCAATTCTCCCAGTAATGCTCATGCTAGCCCCCGGCTCGATGCCAGGAGGGAAGTGCATTCCTTACTGAGGACGGGCATCAGGTGTGGGTCTTCCACAGGACCCCAGTGGGAATCAGCAACCCGCAAGCAGGTATTACTGGAAAGGTGGTATTACATACAACAGTAGTCAGACTCAGACTTCAAGCAGCCCAAAGAGTGGAACCACAGTCTTGTACAATTATAAAATGTTTTTATTTCAGTTACATAATAACACTTACGTTTTCCTCAAATTTTATTGAGGTTTTGGTCTTTTTGCATTAAATTCTATCTTGTAACAGTAATATGAATCCACATAATTTCATAAAATGTCAACATTCATAAGGTACATTCCTTTGTGATTTTATATTTTACAATTTTAAATCTAACTTTACAATTATTTTTTAAATGTTTCTTTATATAGAAAACAGATATTTTCTTCAGGCAGATCAAAACACAAGTTTTCCAATAAGAATACACTGGGACATAACAAATGAAAATATTTATACCAAAATACCAAAAGTGATTCAGCTCTTTAAAATATTCTACTATAGTCTAATTAGTAGTTTGTACAAGAACAAGTAACCTTTTTTACTGCTCTTTTGAATGATGATTAGAAATTCATACAAAGAGAAGTAATTTTAAGGTTCAAAATCTTTTTTTTTTTTTTTTTTTAAGAGACAGGGTCTCACTGTCTCCCAGGCTAGAGTACAGTGGTGCATCATAGCTCACTGCAGCCTTGAACTCCTGGCCTCAAGTGATCCTCCCATCTTGGCTTCCCAATGTGCTAGGGTTACAGGCGTGAAAACATTGTTTTGTGTGTTTTTTTTTTAGACAGAGTTTCGCTCTTGTTGTCCAGGCTGGAGTACAACGGCTTGATCTCGGCTCACTGCAATTTCTGCCTCGCGGGTTCAAGCGATTCTCCGGCCTCAGCCTCCAGAATGGCGGGGATTACAGGCACCCACCACCACGCCTGGCCAATTTTTTGTATTTTTAGTACAGACAGGGTTTCACCATGTTGGCCAGGCTGGCCTCAAACTCCTGACCTCAGGTGATCCACCCGCCTCGGCCTCCCAACGTGCTGAGATTACAGGCGTGAGCCACCGCGCCCAGCCAAAAACATTTAAAAAATGACTGTCCATGCTCAAATACTGCAGTAGGAAATGTAATTTGACATATATCACTACCAGAAAAAAACTTTAAATCTTTCTATAAAATGAAATTGATACATCATCAGCATGAAGTGAAGTTAAAATCTCCTACAGAGTAAATTCAGGTATATCAACAATGTGATCCAAAAGCATTGGTTCAAGATCAAAGACTTCTATGAGGTGAAGGCCAGCAAAGCCCCTCGTGCTTTCAGACGTTTACTTGTTATCCTTAAAATGACTATTGTTCTAAGGTGCAAATCTTATCATTCAGTGACCTATTTGCTATTTGGCTGTTTATCCCCTTTAAATAAAATACCATACAGGTTATAATGTACATTTAAAAATCAAATATGAAAATACACATATGTGAACAAGACATTAATTTAAATATCAATTATATTCATAATACATAAGTCTAAGAATGCTATTTGGTCATTTCAACTAGATGCTGATATATTTGGTCAAGAATATCCACATTCCTATCAGCCTAAGGCAAATGGTAAATGCTTCTATTTTTATTAAGTGGACTATAAACAGTAGACATTATTGTTTGATACTACTGGAATGCTCTCAATTAGAACATACACTGATAACAAATATGTCTTTCTAATCTGGGTGATAACCTCAATGATTACATGGAAATCTACAAGTAACAGTCTATAACTTAAAGCAGTAGATCACCTGGTGATTGGCATACAGTGCACCTCTATGAATTTATAACATTCTACTTACATTGGCAGTGGAGAAAAGAGCCCCTCACACTCAGACTTCCTGGGCACCACACCTGCCGCCTGCCTCAGCTTAGGACATGGTACAGTCTTCTTTGCTTTTGCCCTTCTCATTCCCTCCTCTGGTATCTTCCCTGCTTTCTGGATTGAAGTCCCCCGGCTCTCCTCCCGGTGCCGACAAGTCATCATTTTCTAGGCTACTGCTGTCTAAAGCTTTCCTGACAGTCTGACTTGGATGTTCTGACATCCCACACCTCTCTGTACTTTCTGCTTCACAGGCATCGCTAATGTCCTGTGAGGGACTTTCATTTTCGGGCAGGGCGCAGCTATCTGCGTCTTCGCTCTCTGCTTCTAGGGGACTGCTTTGAGTGGCACCATCTGTTTTAGCATTATCTTTTGCAACACCGTCATCTAATTCTTCACCACCAGCCCTCGGGCCTAATGATTGAACTGTGTCATCCTCAAAATCTAATGTGTCTCCATCAGCTAGTACCACCTCAGCTGCTGTTTTTACATCATCGCCTTCTTGGTCAAGTTTTCCAGCCAACTTAATTTTAGGATTCTCCGGACAATCAGCATTTTCACTGCTTTCTGCCGCAATTTTCTGCTTTGGATTTTCAGGCGCCTCGTTTTGGGCTTCCACTGCGGACTTTCTGTCAGTAGACTTTACCTGCTCTTCTTCCTTAATTTCACTTAAATCTGTGTTCTGATAAGTTAACTCTTTTTTAACATCTTTAAGGGTTTCTACAGGTACTGGGGATTTTTTCTTCTTGTTTTTCTTTTTCTTGTTCTTTGTCTTCTTCTGCGATGAGTCCAATGCCTCTCCCTGTTGGTCATTCTTTTCTTCCTCAGGCTCTTTCATATCTAAGGATTCACTTTGAGTGTCTACTGTACTCGGACCTGTCGCTTCCTGACCATTGCTCTCAGTTCCTGCTGGAGAACCAGGAACTTCTGTCTTGATTGGTTTCTCATCCCTTAACACTGTTTCTTCACCCTCTTCTTCGTTGTGATCCCTACCTACTTCTGTACTCTGCACTGGAACCTCCTTGGGCTCAGCTGCTTCCTGGTTGGTGAATTCTTTCTCTAAACTATGCCCTGTGCTTGTCTCTAACTCTTGGGGGACCTCTACTGTACATTTGTCATCATGATAAACTGTGTCATCACTATGCCCTAAAGGACATGAGGCCACTGTGCCTGCCTGCTCTCCAACCTGAGTCGCCGCTGCCTCTCCCACATTCCCTGTGTGGTTCCCGCCATCTAAGTCATTCCAACAGCTGGATGGCTTAAGGGGAGTTCTGGTCCTGTCATCTGGTGCACCCATGACCTCATCTGACTCAGCCTGTGCTGTGTTTTCAGGGAGAGAAGTGCTCTCTAGAATTTGGTTTTGAACCTGTTCCTCATATGTAGCACCTGCTAAGGTTCCTAGGAATGGGGCAGTGTCTTCAGAGGATTTCTGGTCCTCGGTATTCTCTCCAGCAGGGAATACCTCTATGTCCACACAATCTTTCACTGTGTCCTCTGTGTGTTGTTCTTTCTCAGTATTGTGCAAGATTTCTCTTTTCCCCACATTCGCCACGATTTCATTTTTCACCTCCACTTCACTGGCTCTTCCTAAAAGACCATTGAGAAAATTGAAGGGACCCCATGATGTGGCGGCCACATAATTTACATTAGAATGTAAATACATGTTCTAAATCCCACCCACCCCTATTCCTAAAGAGAGTCATCAAAGAGTCATGAGAAACAAGCCTTTGCCAGTTCTGTGCGGCAAAGCAGCAGTTGCATTAGTAAATTTTGGGTCAGTGAGGGCCACTGCCACCACATCAAAGGCCAGAGTGGCTGCTGGTGCCATCTTGTGTGGACAGATTTTTAAAGGTGAAGTTAAGTTTTGACAAATAGAAAGAACTCTGGATCAGGCAGCCAAACAATCCACAATGATGGGTTTAGGAACGCACTGAAGGTGCAATTCCCCACTCTCACTTCTCAACACACAACTTGACAACTTGTATTTGTGCAGCTGTCAAACTGCACTGCATGTCACACAGCCCTAAAAGCAGCTTGCAAGTAATTTTTTCAAAGAATATTCAGTGCACTTTTAGAAATGCAGCCCCAAGGTCAATCTCAAGGAAGATGCTTTTGAAATAGCTCATATGAAAAGAAATCTAGCTTCTGCCACTCAACCATTGTCTTCCTGAGAAAACACCCTGTGTCCGTGCCCTGATACCTCTGCTCCGTTCCCTAAGGGACTAGGGAGAGAGGACCAGCAGGAGGCAAATGTTGAAAGATCAAGATGACCACTAAATTAAATAAATTATTCATCGTCTAAAGAACATCAAACTGTTTTGGAATTTTTGGATTCTCCAAACAAAACCGCAGCAGATTAGATATAGTACTATGTTACTGAAAGTCAAAGCTAGATAATTTTATAGCCCAGTGGTCTCCATAGTGGGGTGCCCGTATCCCAGGGAAAATGGAGGAAATATTAGGAATTCTATTTAGAGTTTTACTCTAAAACTTCTTTGCATATGTTTTTATATGCTTTATAATGTACATTTTATACTAATGAAATAGTATACATATATAGATTTAAAATAAACATATATATTGGAAAGTTCCTACAATTATTTACCGAAGGAATGTGTGATCAAAAGTCATTTGAAGGCCACTTTCAAAACTGACATTTCTGGTTCTTTAAACATCTCACAATGGTTATCAAAGATTTAGTAACAGCAGCATAATCAAATTCCTAGCTGTTTCGGTAGCTCATATAAAGGTATGATGGAAATTAATTTATTTATCTTTTTTCAACAATAGCATACAGATATTATATACATATCTAGAGATGGAATCTTGCTATGTTGCCAGGCTGGCCTGGAATTCCTGGTCTCAAATGATCCTCCAGTCTTGGCACCCGCAGCATTGGGATTAGAAGTGTGAGCCACTGCACTTGGCCACAACTTTTTTACACAATTGAAAAGAGCTGTGTTTCTTTAATAGTCATAAAGATAATGAATGAGGTATCTCCCTGGAATACAAGTCCTGAGAAGATGGGGCCTGGAGGTGTCTATGTTTCCATAAATAAAAAGAAGTAAGATGAAAGTTTCTAAATTAAAACGAAAAGTCATGGACCCTGACCTTATTCCAGCCTCCTTGTGAAACACTGGCACGCAGAGGGTGACCAGTGACAGATAAGGACTCACTTGCGTGCTGCAACTTCAGGTTGCACGCCAGAATCTGAAGGTTCCTCCCAAAGCCAACTCTTATGACAGATTATGACAAATCAGGTCATTGAAAATGGTGTAAGATACTCCTCTAATCTACTGGATTCCCCAGTTTTATATTCTTTCAGAAGCAAACACATGGCATACAAAGGAGGATCTCCTCTGACAAAGTGGGCATACTCAGACTCTCAGCACGGCTACACCCCTACCACGGTCGCCCGCCCGCCTCGAGCGTGGCTTGAAAATGGCAACACAGATGGACCTGCTGTCCACAGGCACCCCGTGCCCTCAAAACGCTGAATGCTTTCCAGGATGTCGAGGTTGGCTTGCAAATATGGCCAACTGACTGACTTGACAGCCTCGACTATTCTGATCTTTTGATAATTCTGTCACAGAATCAGTTTAAAAAGCCACACTTTATATGTACAGATATATATGTGTCTGAGGAAAACCAAATAGTACTCTCCACATTGTTACTTAATTTTGAGACTACTTTCCTTGCCTTCACAGTCTTGCTTGGTAGCTTTGAGCAGCAAAAGAAAAGATATACTTGAGCCACTGATGGTGCACTACACAGAGATGCATGCCAGACAACACGTGGATGACCACACCGGTGGTAAGGAAATTACCATGAAGTGATGAAACAAATGGCATGCCGGTGACTGTTAACCCAGCAGTGACAGTGGCTCCAACCCCAACAGCGCATGGAGGGTGAACCAATGCTGAGTGGAAAGGCGGAAGAAGCCGAAGGAAAGCAAATACTTACCTAGGGTCCCATCCCCTGTCGACTTGAGGGCATTTAACTCTTCTTTCGTCATCTTGGTAGGACCTTGGTACCCAACATTATTGAGAGTGTCGGAAGTCTCTCCATTGGTAGCTATTTCTGAATTTAGGATTATTCCGTGTTTCTGGGAACAAAAATAGGCTCATCGTAATATTTACTCAGTGATATTAGGTTAAACTCTGCTTTAATACAACTAACAAAAAGGAAAAGAAAACCATTTTTTCCTGAAGTACAGGGTAACTCCACAGAGACAGAGAACTGCTAGGGCGCAGCGCTCGTAAATATTCGGTCAACACACACAAATCTGGGATATCGTCCTCTAAAGGCTACTTCTTTCTCAGATGTTCCAATCCATGCCTTCATTTGCTGGTGACAAGATACTTCCACCAGGCATCCTTTTCAACTACAGGTAGTGGCCTGTGGGCTGCCCCCAAGTGAAGTGGAGCGGTAAGCAAGTCACTGTCATGCAACCTTTCATTTTAAAACCCTGGTTGCATTCTTTAAAAAGAAGAGCCAGATAAAGAAAGAAATATATACATGTTCTGAAAGGCGTATATGAAACTTACGTTAAAGAAGGAATTAAGAGGTGGCTAGAATGTTCAGTATGTTCAAAAGAAACAGAATTCACTGAAAACAGCGGCACTTCGCAACTGCAGACATCACTCACCCACGCCCTCCTGCCGCCCGCGTCTCTCTCCCTTGTGTGTGAGGAACTCCCCTGTACTGATCGCCTCTTTGAGGAGCAGAATTACGAATCTTAGCTCTAAGCCTGTACCTGGCTGGCTCACTGCTCTGGCTTTGACCCTGGAGGCCAAGCAGCAGATGGTGACAGTTCAGGAAACCCCCACCCAGAGTGCTGTCACTGGCACTTCACCTGTGTCAAGCAGCCCATGAAGACGCCTTAGCATGGCCCACAAAGGACAGGGAACCTTCTTCCACCTGTAATCTAGTAGGTCTCAAAGTCTAATTAGCGGGATCCTTGCTCAAACCACTTACCCAAGTCACTGTTCATCTAGAGAAGTCCTTAAATTGGGGGTTTTAATATAAAGAGGCAAATTAATTCTCTAAGTCTGAGTAATATCCTGGAGAATTTACTAATGAGTATGAGAAAAATTTAGATAATATATCAAAAACTTCTTGCGTTCAAGATCAGCTATGTTTATTAACATCAAAAGACCTTGGGCACCACCCACTGAATCTACATTTATTTTACATCTCATCGGTGTCAGTTAACCCAAGATATGAATTATTAACAGAACTAAGCTCAATGACATAAAATTAATTATGTACACACATATTCACAGAATCCCAAAATTTGCTGTTGTCACTTGGATTTTTTTTTTATCAAACTGTACTTTGGCTTCATACCTTTAATTCCTCTTTCAGCATGACTACTTCTTCTCTAAGATCATCCCGTTCACTCCTTACGGAATCAAAGAACTCTTTCTGCCTCTCTAACGCCTGAGTGTGCAGCAGAGCCAAGAGAAAGAAGATTTGCAGAGATGAGCAAGTTACTTCAGAAGCGGGAACCAGAAGGAGGCTTCTACCATCTAAAACACTAGTGGACTCTAGACATTAAAGAGACTCTGCCTAAAGATACTAACAAAATCCAAGTATTAAGCTTTTCACTTAGTATATATAATCCAAGAAATGTTACTGTTCATACTCCATGAAAGACATGCGCATTCTGAAGCACACAAACACAGCACGGGGTCCCAGAGGTTACTATATTTGCATCACTTTCTAGCGTTGTCTGCGTGTTCACAGCTGCGTTAGAGTTAAGCAAAGTCTGCACTTGAATGAGGGATCAATAAAGAAAAAGGATTGCTTAAGCACCTCCCAGAACAGCTGTTGCAGCCATTTAGGCTATTTTTACACATTGATTCTTGGTATCCATCGTCTCAGATAAACAAAGTGGTCCTAAAGTGTGCATGCGTGCACACACATACACACTATCCTAAGTGCTGATGAGCACAACAGTGGAAACACGGTGTGGCTTGTTGAGTCCATGTGCGGACAGTTTGTACGAGTATCTCGACGTCTTTATCAGAGCTGGGTGTATGAATCACTATTTTGGGGAAACCATTTGTCGTTATGAATCACAACAGTTACTTTGTGGGGTTCTGTTCCCCCTATTCTTCAATTCTAAGTGTAGAACTGCCTCTTCTCTTCTTGTGCAGGGAGAAGAGTATGTGGAGGCCTTCCCTGGGGAAGATTTCAAGGTGGGGAGATCTGCCAGGTGGTGCTTAGATTTTTTTCTCAAAGCACCGCCAGGCAGTTAATCCCAAGAAGTCTGGCCTTGCACACATCAGACCTCCCCAGAGCGCCCTCCTCACTCCAGGTGTTTCACCAACCACTGGCCCGGCCCACCCACGGGGCAGGCAGACAGCACGGCTACACATTCACAAGACCCTCCGTGGACGGACCATGTCACATTCCAAGTTCATATCAATTTGGATACGTTAGTGTATTCACTACGTAATAAAATTAAATCAATTAATACAACTTTGTGTCATGTGGGAGTTGCATGCATACTCAGACAAGCGGTTTTGCAAACTAAAGACTCTGAAAAAACTCTATTTGCTAAGCGAAAAAACTCTATTTGCTAAGCAGGCTGCCCATTTGAGTAGATTTTCAAGACTTGAGAATCCTACCCCTATCTTTTTGTCTTTCCACTCTATTGTTTCCTGAAGATCAGAAATCTCCCTGATAGAACTCGCCTGTTTCTGCTGTAGCTGTCGGATTTCCTGAGGAAAGGAACAGATAGAAAGCAGATAAAGGGTTAAAGAGGAAGAAAAACCCCAGCCCAAGAGATAACCTGAGAGCTGGGACAGTGAGTGAGGCCACAAGCACCCTTTTACCTCAACAACCCTGAATTCATCGTCGGCATTCTAAGATTTTTCTCCTTGTCCTACTCCTGGCTTCAAGTGCAGGAAGAAAACCTGCTTTGGGTGAAATTCTCACTTCAGGGCAGCAGTTAAAGAATAAGTCAAAAAATTAAAAACCAACCCTGTATTAGTTTCTTATTGCCATTGTAATGAATCACCATAAATTCAGCAGCTTAAAACACAAATTTATTCTCTTGTAATTCTAGAGGTCAGAAATCCAAAATGAGTCTTATGGGCTAAAAATCAAGCCTTTCTAGAGGCTCTAGTGAGAATCTGTTTCCCTGCCTTTTTCAGCTTCTAAGACTGAGTTACTGTCCTTGGCTCATGGCCCCTTTCTTGCATCACTCCAACCTCAGCTTCCTGTGCCACATCCTCTACTTCTGCCTTTGACTTGCCTTCCTCTTAGAAGGACCCTTGTTCCATCAAATAATCCAGGATAATCCCTTCTCTCAAGGTCTCTAATCACAACTGCAGGGGCCCTTATATTTACAATTTCCAGGGATTTGGAGGATGTGGACAACTTTGGGGGACCATTATTCTGTCTATGACACCTCTGAAAACAAATACCAGATCACCAAAGAACAGGAATGTTCACCAACGAGAGGGACTGTTTTGTAAATCTAGGAATGGAGAGTTAGCCTAAACTCTCAGTTTTAAGAAAACTGAAAACTTTAGTAATTGCCATGAATGAACTGTGTCCCTCTAAATTCATCTGTTGAAGCCCTAATGCCCAATGTGGCTGTATTTGGAGATAGGGTCTTTAAGAAGTAATTAAGGTTAAATGAGGTCATAAGAGTGGGGTCCTGATCAAATAGCATTAGTGTCCTTATATGAAGAGACATCAGAGAGATTGCTTTTTCTCCACCATTTGAGGAAGGATACAGCAAGAAGGTGGCTGTCTGCAGGCCAGGAAGAGAGGCCTCACCTGAACCCAACCTTGATCTTGGACTCCCAGCCTCCAGAATTGTGAGAAAATTAATTTCTGTTGTTTAAGCCATGCTGTGTATGGTATTTCATTACTGCAGCCTAAGCTAGGATAGTCATGGTCTGACAAAATGCTCCAAAGGGAAAAAAGGAAAAGAAAAGCAGGAGAATGCTACCTACCTCGAGCATTTCCTCTCTTTGCTTCAGGGCCTCCTTGACTTCCGCAAACTGAAATTGCAGTATACTGTGGGCGTGTTTTTCCCTTTCAAATTCCTGTAAAGGAGAAAAACAGCACTGAAGCAGTGGAATCCCATGTTTCTGGCATGCCAGTTCAGGTTCTCACGATTGACAGTTTCTGTGGAACAAGTCACCTGCTCCTAGGTCATCACAATCTTCAAGGTCTTTTATTTGGTTTTTTATTTATATATTTTTTTGAGACGGAGTCTCACTCTGTCACCCAGGCTGGAGTGCAGTGTTGCGATCTCAGCTCACTGCAAGCTCCACCTCCCAGGTTCAAGTGATTTTCCTGCCTCAGTCTCTCAAGTAGCTGGGATTACAGGCGCCTGCCCCTAGGCCTGGCTAATTTTTGTATTTTTGGTAGAGACAGGGTTTCACCATGTTGGTCAAACTGGTCTCAAACTCCTGACCTCAAGCGATCCACCTGCCCCAGCCTCCCAAACTGTTGGGGTTACGGACATGAGCCACTGCGCCTGGACTTCACGGCCTTTGAAATAACACGAACAGATTCCTCTGGACTTTACAGATGATGCATGATGACTTACTGTCAAATTAACTTGATGAGTTGATACAATCAACAGGGGTTTCCTGATTTCTTATCTACAGTGAAGCAAGAGCCAAGGAAGGGACCCCCCAGGGAGCCTGATGCCTTCCACAGCACTGCAAGGACTTACCATAAAATGGCCCCTGCTGAAATATGACAAGGAAGACTCTTTGGGATAAAAAGGAGATAAATATGGCCTACTTAAGCATCTCTCATGAACATCTGGTGGCCAGCTCTGTGCTTCGGGGGGCTGCCCCTTAAGGGACAAAACAGGATAGTTTGGGGGAGCAAGTGAAGAGCCTGCAAAACCTAGCTGCTCCTCAGGCCCCGCCTCCCCTCCCGAGGCTCAGCCCAGGAAGCTGGCAGCTCGGCTCTGCTGTTTTCCTGCCCGGTCACAGCAGCGCCTTCCCTGGTGATGGCCTGGGACCCAACTCACTTTGCTGAAAGCTTATAGGCCTGTAGGACGCCCCTTCCCTAGACCTGTCAGGCGGGTGATCTGAGATGGGATCTGGCCTGAGCTTCTGCTCACCCTAGCACTTCTGTTCATCCACTTCCTTTAGCTTGGGGGTGGCTGGTGCCCTCCTGGCTATGACAAGGGCCCTCCTGTGGGGCTTTGCATAGCCCCTGTGTCCATCTCGGGACAGCATTCTAGCACCATCCAACTTCTCTGGAGTGAGACTCGAGAGTTCTCAGTCCACTGAATGATGCCTAACGACAGCGTTGCAGGAGGAGTGCAAATGCATTACAGGCCCCCACCCGAGGGGGGCTGGGATGTGCTCTCCACTCCTCTGTTCCCACATGACATCAGTCTTGTGAAAGGTTCTCCCCTCTTTCAGAGTTCAGCTATCAGGAACTCTGGGGTAAAATCTTCAGCTTCCAACTCAATTCTATGGCAGGCAAAGAAGCAGGCCTGAGGGTTATCAAGGGTACCTCGGTTTTAACCCTTCGGATTTAGAGGATATCAGCCAGTTAAAAACAACAACAACACCACCACCCACACATTACATTTTCTGTTTCCCTCAGAATCTCCGAAAAATTGGACAATTCCTAAAAATATGAAAAAAGTATTCCTTGCTTTCTATCTAAAGAACATCCGAGCCCAGCCTTCATGGAATCAGTCCGCTGTCATTACTTATCTTAACACGTGACTCATGCTTGAGACTCACGCTAGAAATTATATCTGATATCAGCTATCAACAAACTAGTTCCAGTGGTTCTTACTGAAAGCTCAAGTAAGACTGTCTTTCTCTGAGCTTGATGACATATTTAATTCTTCAGTGGAGTAACTGTGTCTTTTCCCAATCAGCACGAAATAATATAATTTTCTTAAAATCTTTGATACTCATAACTATTTCTCTATGGTGTTAAGAGAGAATAACATAAAAATCAGAAAATATATATTAACAGGAAAATCCTGAGGCATCTGATCGCACCTTATTTGAGCATGGTGGCTCTTTCATAGGTATGTTTTTTCACAGTTTGATTTTAGCTTGCATGTTCTCCTAGAAAAACTGTCTCTAGTTTACATGTTTAAATTATACGTATCAATATTTCAAGTCACTTGGCAAAGAGTATGGTACTTTTATTCTCAGATGTTTGGATTTCCTGGATAACTGGAGAGCCATTGTTTAAAAATACAAAAATACATAATGTAAATTATATATTATATATACATACATACACACGATATATCCACACATACATATAAACACACACACACACCCCCCCCACCACTCCCTTTTTTTTTTTTTTTTTTTTTTTGAGACAGGGTCTTCTCTGTTGCCCAAGCTGGACTGCAGTGGTGTCAACACAGCTCATCACAGCCTCAACCTTCCGGACTCAAGTGATCCTCCCACCTCAGCCTCCCAAGCAGCTGGGACTACAGGCATGTGCCACCTGGCTAATTGTTTTAATTTTTTTAGAAATGATGTCTCGCCATGTTGCCCAGGCTGGTCTCGAACTCTTGGGCTCAAGTAATCCTCCCACTTTGGCCTCCCGAAGTACTGGGATTACGGGCATGGGCCACTGCATCCAGCCTATCCTAATATTCTGCATCATACTAATGCTTACTTTGTTTTTCTCTTCGTATTGCCGCCTAGATTCAGCCAGCTGTTCTTCAAGCTCCAGCAACATATCTTTTAGGGTATCAACCTGGTACATGAAGTTCGTCTTTTCATTGTCTAGCTGAGCATTGGAAACCATAGCCTTCTTGTATTTCTCTTCAACTTCTGCTAGAGAGTCCTGTGGAAAGCAGGTCATATTTTTGAAATTGCAATAAAAAAATCAAAACAAAGAATCATTCAGTATTCAGTTAAAAAAAACCCTCAGTCCTAAACTTAGACTATATTTCTTAGAGCAAATGGATCAGAGGAAGAAACACATGGCAACTCCAAATGCAAGGAAATTCCCCTTTTCAATTTGGTCAAATTCTCATTGCTCAGAAAATTCGCTAGTAAAAGCAATGTACACACTCATTAGAACGAACGAGACACCAGTATGGAAAGGGATGTTGTCACAGAGGCAGTAGTCTCTGGCTCCACTCAGTAGCTGGGGAATCCTCCCAGCATGGTGTCTTAGGGCTGGATGTCAGGCTGTGCAACAGATTTCTGAAGAATCACTAGAGGCGTGTGACCAGCCCCTGTGAAAGAGCCCGTGTGTGATGGCTGAGATAATTACTCAGGGCCACAAGCCACAGTGACCGCCAACCAGCCCTACTCTGGCTTATGAATCAGGAAAGGAGCAGTAGTGATTTCAGATTTTTGATCCATAGGAAAATGGCATGCAGATCTCACTGGGCAGGTCCTGGAAAGACAAAGGTCATTCCCTTTGAAGGACGGTCCAGAGAAAGAGGCCTGTAAAATATGCATCATAATGCCCTCACTTGCCTCACACCCTTGCAGGTCCCCAACATGAGGAGGCTAAGGCGATTCCAGAACAGAGAGAGCAGAACCGTCAGGGCGCATACGTGCAGAGCTAAAGGCAGAGGCAGGAGCTGCCTGTTCAGGTGCAGCAGAGGCTACGAGGGGGGTGGAGGGACCAGTGCTGGTCTAGCTCTGCACCTCCACACCAGGACAGCTGTTTCAGGTGGGACCAGTGGGTCTCTGGTTGCTTCAGTGGCTCCCCATCAGCTTTAATTTTTTTTTTTTTTTGAGACAGTGTCTCACTCTGTCACCCAGACTGGAGTGCAGTGGCACAATCTCGGCTCACTGCAGCCTCCACCTCCCGGGTTCAAGTGATTCTCCTGACTCAGCCTCCCAAGTAGCTGGGATTACAGGTGTGCGCCACCACACCCAGCTAATTTTTATATTTTTAGTAGAAACGGGGTTTTGCCATATTGGCCAGGCTGGTCTCAAACTCCTGACCTCAGGTGATGCACCCGCCTCGGCCTCCCAAAGTGTGGAATTACAGGCGTGAGCCCCTGCGCCTGGCCAAGGGGCTCCCTTTTTCGCATGAATCGAAAGTCAGAGTCTTATTTTTCCCCCTTTCAGGAAAGGTGACAGATATGAAGATAATGAATTAGTCATGACTGATGTCACCTCCTCTGTGTGGTGCCCTTTGATATTAAATTCAGACGATCTCTCAGGTACTTTCTAGGGGGCTGAAAAGGGAGTAACAGATTTGCCACCTACTTCCAGATCCACAATCTGCGCCTAATGAAGACAGTCACTGAGTGCTCACCTTACTGTCAAGGAACAGGGCAACCACATCTCCTGGCTGGTGCAATGAAGTCACTGCACACTCTAAAAGCAGTGTGCACATGCTCCAAGAAAGCCAATGCCACAGTCAGTCTTTACTTCAATTAGCAGCATTTTACAGGACGCAAATAACTGGGATGTTTCAAAAGTGTGGCATGTGAGGATGACCTTATTAGTAGACATCAGATATTTTGAGAAGCAAATCAACCTAAGCATTTTTGTATACAGCTACTACAAAAAGTGAAGAAAACCAAACCTTCTTCAAGTGTCTGGTACACGCCTATGGGAAATAAGAAACTGGTTTGAAGCCTTAGAGAAGGATGGTGAGTACAAGACATGCGTCAGGGAGTATGTTAGTAACCTTTTCTACTGGGGGGTTACATTTTCAAGTCTTGGTTCAAACAATGCATTTGGGAAAATGGTGAGTGTACACCCATGCCGGCATTCCTGCCATTGTGAGTTCTTCTACAACCTGGAGCCTCTTTACAGTAAGCATGCACTTTGAATTTCTTCTTTAGGATTTTGTTTTTTTTAAGTGAAGTTGGGTTAATATGGTGAGACCACACTTCTGTGAACTGGTACCTTCATCTCTTTCAACCCCTGCATGTATTTGCCTTCTACATCCTGAATCTGGTCCTTTAACTCGTTGAGTTCCTGGGGGAAATGGCAGAAAAGGCAGATGATGTCAAGGGAAAACAGGTGACTCCCTAAATCTTTCATACTTCAGGGTACTTTCTACTTGGGTAGTCTGAGCACCCAATTTTCTTTTTTATTAAGTGTTAAAGGAAAATAAACTTCAATATTTAAAGATTAAAGTTCAAGTGTATCCCACATGATATTTTTACATGATTTTATGCAATCCTGGTGTATCTCATATGATTTTACACAGTTTAAAAAACAGGCAAAATAGAGCTTCTGAAAATGGTACAGGTTATTTCAACTCCTGTTTAGTAATTCATTCAAGCAGTTGGAGTTCCTACTCTGCAAGATACAGTGAGATGCTAGAGGCAGAAATCAGCAACACTGTTCCCCTGCATTTATGGAGCTCCAAGTCTCTACTTTGCCAAATTATTGATGCCTGGAACAGCACCTGGCATGAGCCAGCCTCTCAGTAAGTACCTGAACAAATGAACGGCACGCACAACCTAAGGGCAGAGAAACATCAGGACTGCCACCAAGTCTGCTGTAGAAAGGGAAACAACAGGCCAGGCACAGTGGCTCACGCCTGGAATCCCAGCACTTTGGGAGGTTGAGGTGGGTGGATCACCTGAGGTCAGGAGTTCAAGACCAGCCTGGCTAACATGGCGAAACCCCATCTCCACTAAAAATACAAAAATTAGCCGGGTATGGTGGCAGGCGCCTGTAATCCCAGCTACTCAGGAGGCTGAGGCTGGAGAATCGCTTGAACCCAGGAAGTGGAGGTTTCAGTCAGCCGAGAGTGTGCCACTGTACTCCAGCCTAGACGACAACAGCGAAACTCT